CCAGAACTTCGCAACTCTTGCTTCCCTTTCCCCTGCCGGGGAAGCTGTTTCATACCTGGGGATTGTTCAGCCGGGAGTGTGCATCGGAAGCGCTCTGGGCCGCCGCGAGGGTTCCAAGGGCGTCAGTCGGAAGCGTTCCCCCTAACACCGTTAGGTGTTGTCATCCACCCCGGGAATGATAGTGGCAGCCCAGCCAGCTGCCGCGCTGTCCTAGACAGGCTCCCTCCTGCGCAGGCGGCTGGGTCAGGAGGCTGAGCCGGTTTCCTTTGTGCAGGATGGAGCAAGGTGAAATGTTCTGTTTGAAGTGGGGGTGGGGGTCTGGTTACCCACGGCACTCTGCAAGGGGGAGAGGAGTACTTGTCAAGTGAAGAGAATGAGCTTGACACCGCTAGGAAGCCAGGAGGAATGGAGAGAGAAACCAGATTATTACTAGTGTCAGGCTTTGGTATTGTCCCCGAATCTTCCATAGCCTCCAGGGGAGGGGATCATGTCCATTACGTAGATAGCAAAGGCGAGACTCAAGTTCAAGAAAGGGACCTGACCAAAGACTGGTTTTGAGCCAGGGTCGGGAATCCATTGCCCTGTCTGTTGCTTTGTGCTTCTTCCCACCTCTTACCATCTGGAACCTGGAGTAAACGGGCAGGCGGTGAGCCATAGACACCGAAGCTATCAGAGGAGACTAATAGCATTTCATATTTATCCTTTTGTGGGGAGGCGGTTGGGGAGGATGCCACGGGGTGGGGTGTTGGTGAGGGTACAGTTTGTAGGATTTTAAAGATCCGTTTGCATCTTTTGGCCTGAGGTCAGTTCAAGAGAAACAAAACCCACTTGTAATACTTTCTGCAGCACATTCGGAGTTACCGGCGATGTAGACTTCTGTGGAAGAGGGCCTTATTGGTTTTGGTTTTTCTTCGCCAAGAGTTGGGGTTTGAAGCTGTTTTGTGGTGTGGTAGAAAGAAGATTTGCTTTGAAGAGGTTAGGATTTACAGATCTTAGAGGTAGAAGAAATAGAGATTATTTAGGTCAACTTTTTTTTTTTTTTTTTTTTTCTGTCCAGGCAAATTCTTTGAGACGGGTTGTGTAGTCCAGGCTGGCCTTAACATCACTAGTCTCCTTCATTACCCTTCCGGGTGAGAACCACCATTCCTGGCAAGTTTGTTCTTTTCTCCTGCCTCCCACCCTTTGTTTCTCCTCTTTTTGGATGCTCAGCAGATAGTGGCCACTGTAGGGGGTAGAGAAAGTGATTTAGCACCCCTCACTCCCCATCCCCTGCTTCAGGTAGTGCTATGCCTGGCCTTGAACAAATTATCTCATCTCTCAGCTCTAGTTTCTCTTTGTAAAATGAAGACACAAGCTAAATAATGTCTTCAGTGTTACAGATGTGTAGGTACTTCAGGTACACCGTGTGCAGGTCCCCTCCCTATGCCCACAGAACATTCACAAGTAGTTCCTCTGCCACCCCTGAAAACTTAGGGACTTTTATGTTTGGCTGGAACTTCTTTGTCTCATTTGGATACTCACCTTCCCTACCCTTCTCTGGTGGATGTCTGTGACCTCGCAGTGAGCATGTGTTAAGTATCCAGCAGCTGGTGTTAAGGGTGTTGATTCTCAGGTGTGTGAGTCTGGGCTTTGGGGTTCAGTGCATCTCTGTTCACCTGCCTGCTTGTGCCAAGCTAGACTAGCCACGATGTTGAGTCTGGTGGAGGGGAGGGGATAAGTGACAGCCACTGGGATGCAGGAGTCCCTCCCCCTCCTCAATTATCCTCTCAGGATAAACAGTTTTACTTTCCCACTTCCTGATTCTGACAAAAGAATTTTATTTTCTGGTCAATGGATCCCTTTCATTAATCCAAACAGTTCCTTCAGGTACAATCACTTCAAATGTCTGCCGGGCAAGGGCTGTGGCTTTGGGCTTTGTTTTAATGCATTCTTTCCCAGTCTTTTCGTTCCATTGTAATCGAGATGTATTAAAAAAACAAAACATTTTCAGGTCAGTTTTGGATGTACTGAGAAGCCTGTAGTTTCTATAAAGCCTACTGCTATTTTCCATTCTGAGCCCTTCTCTTCCCTTCCCTTCTCCTTCCTTTCTTTTTTTCTATATCTAACATCCCTTTTCTTTCCTAGGATCTTATCCAGGATTGCATACTACATTGTTGTCTCTTTAGGCTCTGTTGACTTACACAGTTTACCAGGCTTTCTTGTTTTTCTGTGACAGTGACAGTTTTTGGTCATATACCAAAGCATCCCATTGAATTTATTCCCGTTTTTTATTTTAACTGGAGACTTTGAATCTGGTGTTGCTTTCTTTGTCCATTTGGGTACTCACCATCCTACCTCTGTACTGTTTTAGCATCCCATCTGGAAGTCAGCTCAAAAAGTTCTTTGTATCTTTAGGACATGAAATGTCACATCATAAACCCTGGCAAGAATATAGATGCTGGAGGGGAAATGGTCTTCAGCAGTACGCAGAGGGGCAGCTTTGCCCCTGGAGACACTTTGTTAAGCCTAGAGACCATTTTATTTCTCTCACTGGGGGTAGGGGCAGTGGTGCTGGCCTGTAGTGGGCAGAGACCAGTACAGTATTTTCATAGTAAAGAGCTATGTGGCTTCGAGTATCAGTAGTGCTGGGCTCAGGGTCCCTTTACTAGAGTTCTGAGAAAC